ATTATTATAAAATTATTATAAAATTATTATAAAATTATTATAAGGTACAATTTTAATAATTGTATTAATATCGTTAAAATGATCTTAACTCTATTGAAAAAAAATAGCTAGTTTTTGTAAAGAATATTATGCATTTTATAATTGTGCTAAAATTGGTTGATGCTAAAATTTGGGCCTATTTAGATATTACAAAAAAATCTGTGAGTTTTTTTTCAATCTACAAGCAACAAATTTTATTAAATACCGAGCTAATCTGTTATATATTTTATTTTTTAGGTATCATAGATATTAGCCATTTTTTTTTTAGCTTTTCTATCTTGCAACCTTTTACAATTTTTAATTTTCTAAAGTCTCTCAAAGCTAAAGGGCTTAAAGAGAATATTGGTAAGAGTGCGAACCTAAGACACTACAACAAATGAAAGACTAGTAGCAAACTTTTTTTTTCAATATCTAGTATAGCTTTTGCAAGAGTAAGTCCTTGACTCTTATGTACGGGAATAGCCCAGGCAAGACAAACAGGAATTTGTGTTCGTAAATACAATACCCTGAGTTTACTTTCTTAAGTATGTTAAATAGGTATTATTGGGATAACTTTTACACTATTTAAAGCTGTAATTGTAGGCCCTTTATAATTGTTAAAAGCAATAAAGACAGAAACAGAAAGAGAAGGTGGTCTATTATTTTTATACAGAATATTGTAGACAGTTCCTATAGATCCATTAACTAATCCTGCTTCTGTCCATAAATTTATTGTTAACATAACATGAGCTCCTTTGGCTAATAAAAGTGCGCTTTAAGACCTTTCGCAACATCTGAGTCTGCTATTTTAGCCTCATGACCACTGGTATATATAGCCTAAATTTTAGCAACAGGGCAATTTAAAGATTCAAGTTTTTTTAAATTAATTGCATCGATATCTGCTCATTTTGGTAAAATAAACATAGTATTTGAAAATAAATCATGCACACTTCTATTATGTCTTTCTTCAATGCGTGTAGTAAGCATTTTCCAATCTTCAAAAGTAGATTCTCCATTGCGCAATCATAAGAAAATGTTTTTAAAGTCTTGCTGCTTCCTAGAGTCACCAGATTGGCGCTGAATAATATCGAGTTTATATGCTTTCTGAAACCTACTATAAGCTACAATACCTTCATTAGATAATGGGTTTCGCAAAATATTACTAGCATATATAGGAAGGTCAAGCACAAATAGGAACTATCCAAAATCGCCAAAAAGAATAATAGATCTACCACCAAATGGAATATTTTTATGTTCTGGAAAAGCTTGTCTTAATCTCATATTAATCAAATTTAACATTCTACATCCTATTATACTTTTCTCATCAAAGACTATATATATTACATTTTGTAGCTTTGATTGTAGTTTTTTTAACTGCTTACTGTTCATATCTAAATTGCCTTCACTTTGTATTGGAATACAAAGTGTTGAATGAATAGTTGCTCCGTTAATATTATATGCGGCAACTCCTATAAGTGCAAGCACAAGTATAGGCAGTTCAGTTACATTTCTACACATCTCTCGCAGTTGTTTTTTAATTACTTTAATGAGATATGATTTTTCTGTTTCTACTATTCTCATGATTATAATCCTTAGTAGTTTGACATCGCAGCCAGAAAGTATACTTTGATAATGTGTTTTTATTCAGTTAAAAACCTTTTTTTAATTTTTATTCAAGGTATTATAGTTTACAATATCTACAACTATATTCAAGTTTTCTTCTATTTGAGAATTATTAGATGCTTGATACAAAAAAGTGTCAACGTCTATAATATTAGTACTCGAATAATTCTGTTTGGCATCATTAATCCAATCAAAGTTTAGATCTATATCATGAGATCCAAATTCAAATGACCGATTAATAATTACGCTTGGACCCATTTCTGCTAAATACATCCAATCAAGCTGGAATTCCTCCTTTTTATCAATTTCCTCACCCAGATCATCATTATCAACATCATTATTCATATCCTCTACTTCATCTATAGGAGGACCAAGCAGATCCATTGAATTAGTATTAATATTTTCAATATACCAGCTATATAAGGTTGACCACTATACAGCACTATTTTTAGTTAATTGCTAAAAATCTCGATGCTTAACGTGGAGAATAACTTTGATTCAATAAAATTCTTCCTATTGAGGGCCATGATATAAAGATGATGGGCGTGGCCATATACGTATAATGTTTTCTTTTGAATATTTTTTCCAACCTTCTTTCACATATTTATGTGTTAAATAGATATAATACAACAAAAAATTTTCTAACTCTAATAGTCTTTCCCAGTATGCTATCAAAGGTGATAGTGATATTATTCCTACGTCTTTAATATTCTCGCCCTCTTCTCTACTACCAGTACCACGAATTTATCGTGGTGTTTCTTTGTTTAAATTTAAAGAGATAAATATTTGGCTTGAGTGATAAACAGGAATACTAAGAAAAAGATAACAAGTTTCTTGTGCTGAAATATCATGTTCTGCTACACTATGAATTAACAATCTTTGAGCCATAGAAATAACTAAATCATCAGATTTGCTATCAGCTATGATCTGATTTAATATTTCAGAGAAAGTAGCAGAATGTGGTTCAGCCTTGCTTGTGTATTTAGCAATGTATTGCAGGGCTGCGTGGATATTTAGAATTGGTTTAATATCCATATTTGCTCTCTAGCCCTGTAATTGAAGTCGACTATGTAGATTAATATGTGGATTATTTCTTGCTATTACAAGTTCTGGTCCTCCACAACTATCTTCTTGCAGAAACGTGTGTTCACTATTTTCTTTAAGATAACTGATCTACAGAATTGTTGACCGCTTTTATTGACATGAAGACAATATCTAGAGCTATATCGGGTATGCCTTTGTAATTTATTGATCAAATCTATATAATCTTCCAAATTATCATGTATTTCATTATAACGCTTTTAACAAGGGTGACGATTAGGTATTGGTGCGTTGAATCCTGGATTGATAGTAGTTACTATTGAATTAAGATATTGTACCACTTTATTCATTATTTGTTTATCATTTTTCATTTTTTCCCACTCAATTACAGGTGCATTTTGTCTCTTTCTTATGCCATGTATATGGACACTACTATAATGCTGCTATTCAAATTTATACTACCAGTCCTCTAAATACCATCTCTTTTTAATATATCATTAAAAAAAATTTCAAACTGCTTGTTAAAAAAACCAGACAGCAATATGAGGATTATCGATGACATTTTGACGACGGCGATTTGCGGATTCTTCTACAGAATCTTCTATAGATTGTATAAGATCATGTAATTCAGGCCAGTGCAAATTGGCGGCACTGAATATAAAAAATATTAATTCTTGTGAACTTAATTGCTTTATCATATCAGATAGTTTACAACGCCGTACTGTCAAGTTTCATGCAAGCCTTCTCCAAATCGCATGATTCGATCTGCTATATATGTGTCACCTTTGGCTATTATATTTCTAATATTAGTAACGGTAAGCTGATTATCACTTAATTTCTGCCTAACATAAACCCTTCTTTCTTGTAATACTTTCTATCTCATCTAAGAATTTAATACAAAATAGCACCAATGAGTGTGACATGCAAACCTACTATTGCTATATTGGAGTAGGTGCTTAAAATATTCAGCTGGCTTGACCTCTCTAGCACGTTATACATTAAGATCAGCCCAGCCAGTTGGATATAAAGTTGGAAATGCTCGAGTGATATACCCAGGTGTTTGGAATTCATTGATGGGATTGCTATCAATATGCAACCATGTTATAGGAGAATTTTCCAATTTTATACAGTCAAGTGTGTTGTTAATAACAACATCTTCATGACTAGTCAGTGGGAAAAATGGTATGAACAAATATGTAATATCAATATCATTTTCATTATTTGGTTCTTCTATAGCTTCACTTGCTTGAATTTGTTGAAGCTGACTATCAATATAATCTTCTTGAGGTAAAGATTTAAAAATATTGTTATCAATTACAATGTCGGTATAATACTGATTATTCGCCTTTAACCAGTTTAGCACATTTGCAACAACATTACGACGAACTATGAAGTCTTTAAATGCTATAAAATCATTTGCGGATTGGTGACACACTATAAAGATATTTAACAATGATGGATCTCAAGGAAGGCGTGTAGTAAACTCTTGAACATCTTGAGAAAAGTTTATAATATGCCTCTGTATCCTTGTTGTCCTCTATGAAAATTATATACTGATATTACAGTAAAAACTTGCGCTATTAATATTTCTTCTACTTCAATGATAACACATTCCTCTAACGAGCAACTATAGATAGAAAATATTTGTTGTATATAGGGCAGAAAACATACCAAAGCTTATTCATTTTAGTTTAAAATTTTTGTAAAAGTTTATACTCGTATTCATTTATTGTTGTTGCTGATAGCGGTTCTTCTATAACATTATCTTCATCTTGAGATTCAAACCCGATATTCTCCTCATTTTGAACATTTCCACTTCAAGATATAGTGGGAAATGTTCTCGTGATAATCTGTTCAGTTTGGTCTGTTGTTTCTATGATTACTGCTATTACAGATCGTTCTGTCTCTTCTGACAAAATAGTTTTTTTCCCTGCTTTTTGGCATTTTTGCTCTCGATCACATACAAGCCATTCTTCATGTTCTTCTGCAGTTTCTTTTGCTTTACTCTTGAGTTTTCTATTTTGGTTATTCAAGAGACATTCTCTATGTTTTTTAGGTGATTCCTTTTCTCTATTTCTACGTTGTCTAAGTGTATTTCTGTAATAAATTATTTATTTTTTAATTAGGCCGTTTGAAGTTATAATTTTATTTAACGTTCCTTTCGAAGCTTAAGCGCAGTGGGGGAAGGGGGCCAAATTAAACAAATATTATATAACACCTCAAAAAAACTACTATTATTATTAGTTTATTACAGTCACATGATTTATTGAAATCTTAAAGATGTAGTAGACGTTCTGATTGGTTTGTTTAATTTTAGAAGGAAGCTGTTGGAGGCAGTGGGGGGAGAACGTTAAATGAAATTGTAACTTCAAACTGCCTTAGGTTTGCAAATTTGTAAAAAATTAACAGAATTAATTTATAAAATATAGACATACTAAGTTTCTATTATGTTTGGAGAGGTTAATTAGAATATGGTTTTAAGTTTTGATTTTGTAAAATTCTGATTTATTAAAGATCAAAAATCACCACTTAAATACATTTTTAACAATCTAAATTATATAATTTATAGCACTTATTATTCTTTCTAACAATATAATCATACAATTTTTTGCCATTATGCAATAATCATGCGATTTAAGGTTTGTAAAAATGCTTTTCGCATTAGCCCAGTTGGCTTTGAATACATGGCCGACTTATTAGAGTATGATTTTAATTTTCAATAGTATTTGTTTTTGATTATTATGCATTCAATAATTTTAAAGACTTTTCAGACGCAACCAAATTCACCTTTGACATATATGTTGGCTATGTAATCTATAATTACTAAATACTTCTCATATCAATTCAATTTGTTTTCTAACAATAATCATATAATTTTTTGCCATTATGCAATAATCGTGTGACTTGAGTTTTGTAAAAATGCTTTTTGCATTAGTCTAGTTGGTTTTGAATACATGACTAACTTATTAAGGTACAATTTTGATTTTCAATAATATTTATTTTCGATTATCATATATTCAATCATTTTAGAGACTCTTTAGGCACTACCAAATTCACCTTCAACATATATATTGGCTAAGTAATCTATATTACTAAATATGTATTATACTAATTAATTTGCTTCTCGTATCAATCCAGTTTGCTTTGATCATATAGCTAACTAATTTGAATATGGCTCAGATTCTCAAAACTGCTAGTTAAGTAAAACTGTTTCTATTTTGGTGATAATTATTTAATTACTATGCATGCAATTTAATTATTTGGATATGGCTCAGATTTTTGAAAGTACTGGTTAAATAAAGCAGTTTCTATTTTGGTCTTCATCATTTATGCAATTTAATTATTTTAGAGGTTCCCAGGTTAGATATTGTTCCTGGTAGACATTTTTATTATATGGTTATAATAAATTCCCCAAATAGCTAGGTAACTTAATAATACTCAGGTAGAGATTTTTTTGACAGGCACAATCTTTATCCCAGGAATTACTAAACTTGGCCTTCGGCATATCTTGGCAAAGCAATCAAACATGGCAATAGTGTCTAGATATAGGATAAGTTAAAAAGGCAATCAAAGTTATAGCATTTTATCTTGAAATCATGTGATTTTTATATACGAATTCTTTCTTTTTTTTTATATTATCCCTTAAACTGTATTCCAGACAAATTTGCCTGGAAAATTGAAAAGTATTTACAAATTTTTAAATAAAAT